AGTAAATCGACATTATCACTTTTGTTGCTGATTTTTTTTATAAAATTGATTTGATTAAATATATGCAATTTTATACTAATAAATTAGTATTTATTATGTGTTTCATTAAAGTATTCAATAAAAATAAAAAATGAAATTAATTTGCGAATGCGCTGGATTTTCTCATTTACTATAATCACAACCCGGTTGTAAAATGCAATTTAAAATAACAAATTGAAATGCGGCATTATTATAACACATTTTAATACACATTGTATTTGCATCATATAATAAAACCATAAAACTTATTACATTTTTTAATCAGTAGTTGTATTAGAATAGATGTTGGTAAAACAAGATTTCTTTACCTAAAAAGATGCTATGTCAATTCGTAATATAGAAAAACTTTGCTTCCTTAATTAAGGCTAATAAGTTTGTCTTTTTTTTTAAATTTTATTAATATGTTAATGATAATTTATTGACCATAATAAATAAAAGCCGGGCAGAAAAACCTATGGTCAATATCCATTTGTAGCAGTTGACTTTTTGATTTATGATATTTATATTATTGTATTAATTTTTTATTTTGTAATTTTAATATTTCAATAAATATTATTATTATTAAATAAAAGTTATGTAACACGACAGCGTTTCGTGTACGAAAAACAGAATATATACAAATCTTCAGCCGGCTTGGGCGTGAGTCCGTGACATGGGAAGGTTCAGGTCGCCACTTCCTTTTATTGAGAGGAAGAACACTTATAACTGCTTTCTCAGATCAGTACATTTCTTCTCCGACGGTGGGCCTTGGCTCCTCTAGAGCACCAACATCGTCTTCTTGGAACTTATCTATAATATCTTCTCAACTGGAGAACTCAACCGTCTTCTTTCACGGTTCGATCCGGTTTCCCCGAATTTTGGAAGCATAGTTGCACCTTGGAGCGTAGATGCAGCGTTGTCTATTTTAACACGTTATAGTTACATTCATATAATTAAAAAAACAATTATTAAAATAAAATAACCAAATATAAAAAAAAAACAAGATATAACAAAAACAGTAATTCTGAGTAAATTAAAGAAAAAAGGATATATCTAGTCAAAGGTATACTCACCAGATGTATTTAGTTTATTCCCATTTATTTATAATTTTGTATGACTGCTACAATAAAAGTATTTAGTGTTATTATTAGAAATTTTGTTAAAATATTATTTTTAAGCAATTTTTCTTCGAACTTCGAATGGTTTGAAACTATAATAACTAAAAAAAAAAATGAGTATAATGATTCTAGTATTGAAATTCAAGAAATTACTAATTACAAATTTGAATATCAGTATTCATTAATGGAAAGAAAATTACAATATACATTTTATTTTTAAGAAAGAAGAAATAACAATATGCTATTAACTACACCTACGTAAATTCCATTTTATAAAACCTATTTCATACTGAATTACTCGTACAAAGTTGCGTGGGTTTCAAATAAACCCGTCGCATCCGCTAAAAGTAACATCAAGATTTTTTTCTTTTTCACTCATTAATTTATTCCTTACAATTTTATACGCAAATAATTATTTATTAATATATATAGATAAAAACATTTTTTTCCTAATGGACGTATGACGCATTGTAGAATATCAAAATTGAACAGATCAATTTACAAGAATTCTAAAAATACATATATATCATTTTCTGTGGTTTTTCTGGATTATAATTCTGTTTCTCAGCTTGTTTTTATTTATCTAGACCAGCGTTTCTCAACTTTTTAGAAGCGATATTTCTTTGTAGTTGTTCCCAATTGCTAAAAGTTTTTCACCAGTTCCTTCCTTTGACACAAGGTGACAGCTGTCATTTTGAAACCAATTTAAAATGTTACCAATAGGCTAAAACGACCAGTGATTCCCAAACTAATTTCGCCTACTGCCCCCTTTCCATAAAAAAATATTACTCAGAGCCCCCTGGAAATACCTGTTTTTGATTTTTTTTATAGCAATTAAACAGAAAGATATATGTATTATGGTAGCGCCCACTTTGGGAATTGCTGATTTAGACCAATGATTTTATAACGGTATGTTGCGAGAAGATTTTAGACCTGCCCTGATTTGTATGTATGTGTACCACGGAAATTTAATATTAATAATAATAAGGTAAAAACAAGTTGGAAATCACTGCACTGCTTAGATTTGATAATTCCAGAACTAATATTTTAAAGACTTAAGTTCTTAACCTTTAAGAGGGGTTTTTTTGAAAATGTTTATTAAATTATTTATTAATTATATTTATAAATTGTTCTTAATTATATTGGGTGAAGTAAAAAATTCTGAGCGATTTATCCCATACATCGAGACCAAACTTGAGACCAGCCTTATGCAAATGGTTCCAAACGATTTTCTGGCTAGTCTTGAGTTCTTGGACAATGGAATAAGTGCTCTATTCCGATTTGACTTGATGATTTTATCAACATTTTCAACGTGTCTCATCTTCAACGTCCAGAACGGAAGCGTTGGAACCAACGATTTGCTGTTGCATTCGATACTGTATTGGGTCTATAAACAATTTTTTTTTTCGCCTGCTCCGCTTTTCCACTTGGTCGTAGTGGTACAGACAATTGGATTCACTAAACACAAAACTGTCAAAAAACTTTTTTTAAAGCAAGATGCAACGTATATGGCTCACTAAAATCATCTAACAAAAATTGCTCAGAACTTCTTACTTCACCTAATATTTATTAAATCTGAAGAACACAATAAAAAATGACCCATGGTATGTCCGCGTAATATTTTACATCGGACATACGAGATATGTTCAAAGTGGTTTTGATTAAAAACATAAACATTTTGATAAAACATCGTCTGTGACATAAAACAGGAATATTATTAAACAATTAGTTTAATGTAACAAACAGTAAAGTGGGAAGGAATTAAATTTTATTCTTGACTTCCAAAGGAGATGGAATAGTTTAGAAAAAAAATCAAAATCAATTCATAAAATATCTTAAAGAATCTGAAGAAATAAATTGGTTCCGCCTAAAAAAGGAGAACTTAAAATTTAGATGAATTATTTAATGCTTTAAAGAAAACTAAAAATAAAAAATAAAATAATATTTTAGAATAATTTATTATTATTTGTTTTTCTATATAATTTTCTATTAAATACATTTTATTTTGTTGTAGTTTCATAGTTATTTTTATATATTATTATAGAATATTTTAAGTTTTGTTTTTTGAGATTTTATTTTGATATATTTTTTTATCAAAATCTTTTCTCTTATTTTTTTTTATGTGAAAATTCGGAAATCGGTTTTGTAGAAAAGATGTGATTCAAAAACCGGTTTTTAAAAAATCTGTTTCTGTGTAAATCGTACTGTAAGACCATTCTAATAAAAACGTATCGCGTATGTTCAAATCAGTTAAGAGGTTAAAAAAAAATTTCTTACGTTTATTGTGTATTTACAAAACTGAAGTATATTTTATGATCTCTCTATATTGAATTATTGAATTGTTATTTTTTTACATTTTATAAAATATTCAATTTATTTTGGTAGAAAAAACTAAATAATTTAAGTAATTATTTTATTTTTGTGTTAAAAACATTATTATTATACCTTACATATCTATATCATTATTTTACTTGTACTGCGGTTTTTAACAATAGGTGTATTATGAAGATAATAAATAATAAATAAATAACAGATTTCGTATATATTTTATATATGTATTATGTAACTCCCGGATTTACGAACAAAATTCTAAAAGCTCTAACTTGTTACAATAATAATTCGTTTAATAAAATATAATATTTTTGGAAGTTGTACTATCTGTTTTGTTGCATTTGTTTCTTTCCTCGTTTTTTATTAAATAATTGTGAAGGTATTTCTAAGTAATTATTTTCTTTATTTTAATCTATTTTTTCAAATGTATGCAGTCAGTAATACGGAAGATAACATATATAAAAGTAAAAACCATGATAAAGTGTAGTAAGAACAATCCTTTCGAACGGAAATAGTAAATCGGGGGATACCTATATTGTTATGTAATAGAAAGCTTAATGTAAACTATATTAATATAGTATAATCATTTTTAGCTTCTTAACGCCGGAATTAATTTATAAAAGAATAATTTGTGTCATAAAAACTTGCATTTAAACTATTAATTACGTAATGTTAAATACAATAAAAGTTGTCAACGAGTATATATTTTAAAATATGATTGAACTAAATATGTTATACCCGAACATTGCTTGAAAATATTGTTCTGTCCCGCATACTGTTTTAGAAACGGTATGTATCAAATATGAAATATTCGGCTTTAAGAAGTTAAAAGGTAACCCGGCGCATCCACTAATTATGTAAAATAATAAATAGGGCTTGACAGAATATTTTATGTATAGAATGATTGTTAATTATAGTAGGTCTCGGAAATGAAAGGGGTAGTTTGCTAAAAAAAATGTTTCGTAAGTTGATAAAGTTTGAAGAGCACTGGTCTATTGTGTAGCCAATTGTACGTGTAGTTAATTAACATGGATGGGCGGATGTGTTGCCTGGAAACGAAAAGTAAACAATACATATTAAAAATTGTAAAATTATACAAATAAATATATAGGCCGCGATTTTGGGGTGGTTTTGATGGTTGAAATTAGGCGCATATGTAATTTTTGTATTTATGTCTAAAAATAAAGGTTTCGTAAGTCGATAAAGTTTGAAGAGCACTGGTCTATTGTATGTAGTTAATTAACGTGGGCCGCGGAAATGACAGTGGGCGGATGTGATGCGTGGGTGTATATCACTGTTGCTTCGAGACAGAAAATAAACAATAAATTTAAAAAAAAATGTAAAACTATAAAAATAAATGTAGTTCGCGATTTTGTGGGGGGTTTTGTTGGTTGGGGATGGTTTAAATTTGGCGCATCTGTAATTTTTGTATTTGTGCGTGGCGTTCGGTTGGCGTCGCCACCCCTGCGGTGGCGGCGCGCGCTTTCGGGCAGTCGGCGGCGGTCGCGACCGCTCCCATTCCGTCGGTGCGCGTTTAGACGGCTGCATGTCGGACGAGAGCGGGCGGCCGTCTTGCGATGTCACGGGACTGGGCGGGGCGGGCCGTCACCCGTCGGGTATCCTGACAGGACAGTGCTATCGTTTTTGCGTGTGTTATGTGTGCCCCATTGACTGAAGAAGTGACTTTGTAGCGGAACGCGAAGGATCGCCCATCCACCAGAATATTTCAACGGCCACCACCGTCGAACATTCTCCTCTGCCAACCCCCGTCGTTACACCATACTATCATTGTATCTGTGCCCCCTTTGCCGTGGATAAGATGGCGGCCGACGAGGCGCCCGGTGTTCAAGGGTAAGTCCAACAACCGCCCCCCCAGCGTTTATAAACAGAAAAAGAAATCCACCGCCGCTGCAGCCGCCGCCATCCAAGATCCTGCACCCGGTGGAGCGGTAGCGCGACCCGTGGTACGCCGCCCCCCACACCATACACCAGACACACCCCTATCTCGCCACTAGCACTGTACGTGCGGGGGCGGCGGGCCAAGAAAAACAAATAAACCGTAAGCAGGCACCGCCGCCACACATAATACACACAATACGGTTGCAATGTCGAGTGTAGAATGTACACCCACCCACCCTACGATTACTATCGTTTCTCTAACTAGGCCTATCGATTCACAATGTTTACATTTCGGAGCATCTTCAAGTTTGTTTAAGTCTTTCTTAGACGCGGAGGGGCGTGGTTTTAAACGGTGCGGATCTCATCTTCGATGTCTTTAATTCTTTGATTTATATTGCATTCCTCGATTTGTACTCGCATTTTACAAACACCCACACCCCTTTTTTGCAAGCGCAAAGTGAACGCCCCAAAATATCGCCTAATAAAAAAACACCCTCTTATGTAAGGGAGCACACCGCTTCCATCTGACTATTTCTTAGAAACATTGCATTCCGCGTCCGAAGTCGCGGGGGTGTGACCATCGGTAATAATAACCCGGCGCATCCACTAATTCTGTTGACTAACAAACAGTCCTTTATTTTGTTTACACTACAATCATAAATTTAATTTACAACAAAAATTCAACAACTTTTTTTAGATAATTTATAACATTTATTTAGCAAAAGGAAGTATTTTTTTATTATTATTAATTAACTTAATTTATTTATTTTTTGAATATCATATTTTCATTTCTTTTATAAACGTAGTTTATTCAAGTTATTATATTATATAAGTATAAGTATATTATATTGTAGAGATATTTATTAGAATACTTTGCTTAACATTACATTTTGTGAGAAAACTTATGGGGGTGTGACCATCTTCAAAAAAAAAAATTACCAGGCGCATCCACTAATTTCGTAGACTTTATTTTATTCTCAGTACAATTACAAATTTAAATCGTAAGAAATCATATTTTCATAGAAAATTTATAACAATTTAAAAAAAAAATGCAAATATTTATTTGTTAATTAATTTCATTTATTTATTTCATAAAATATTACTATCCTCTGATTTGAAGAACAAACTTAACTTGAATCTGTATAATTTATGTTATACAGATATTTCTTGTAATACTATTTAGTTCTTAATAATACATTTTGTGACTGAAATTGTGGGGGGTGTGACCGTCCTAAAGAAAATAACCCGGCGTATCCACTAATTCTGTTTACTAACAAATATTGATGTTACATTTATAAATTTAAGTTACATTAATTGAAAATTGTATATCCAATTTATAAACATTTTGAATTTCGTTATACAAATTTCACCTACAAAGATGAGGGGGTGTGACCATGGACAAAGACATAACCTGGCGCATCCTCTATTTTAGTTGATTAATAATCAACCCTTTATTATATTCACATTACATTTACTAATTGAAATCAAAATTATATATAATTTTTCATAAACTATTATTATTTATCTATATTTACTTTAAAATAAATTTTATTTTATTTTAAAGAAATCTCATTCTTCATTTATACAAGAAAGGCTTATTTAATTTATTTTAAATTTTATTATAGATTTTTTTTAAATACTATGGACTTCTTAATATAACATTCTTTGACTAAATATATGGGGGTGTGACCATTTTCCAAAAATCTTACTCAGCGCATCCTCTTAAATTATCGACTTAACAAATAGTTCTCTATTTTATTTTCTTACAACTATCAATCTAAATAACAATTGTTTATAAACATTTGATAATATATATTTCTTTTTATTTCATTTTTATAGATTTTCATATTTGTGTTTCTAGTTATTTCTCTATATCTGTGATTCTCAAACTTTTTGGTCCGCGACCCCCTTATGGATATAAAAAGTTTCAGCGACCCCTAGAAAAATGGGTATGTGTAGAAAAATAACCAAGATAGATCTGTCATTAATTTTTTGCGACCCTCCCCCAAATATTTTTTTATAGAATTTAATATAAAAAATATGTCTTTTAATAAACATAATGTATTGTACACAAATTTTAAAAAAATAAATTATTTTAAACGGAAATCATATTTATTTTATCAATTATATTGTAGGAGTTTTTTTTATATTATTGTATATTTCTATCAAATTTTACTTCTTAGAATATGAGGATGTAACTATATACAAATATAATCTGGCACACTATTTGTATTAGTAATTTGTTTCTTCGATTCGTCTAATAGTAAAACAAAATAAAATGATTATAAATGATTGTATGCAATAAATTTTTACGATTTAAAATTCAATTTTACATTCAAAGTGGTTGGGGGTGTGCCCATTAGAGCCAATAACCTGGCGCATCCACCGATTTTCTTCAGTATTCTGAAAACCATTATAGAATTGATACTTCACACATTTTAAGTCATAAAAAAATTACTATTTTTAAACATAATTATTTGCACACACATACAAAGTATTTCTTCTCGGTTTTGTAGATAATTTATCTACAATTTTTGTTAATATTTATAAAATCTTTCAACAAAGAATTATCTTTTCTTAAACTTAGAATATAAACCATTTTAGAAAAACCCTTCTCAATATGAAATTATGCATTCACAATCTATAAAACGCAATATTTTACACGTAAATAATATTTACATAAAGTTTTAAAATTCCAATATTCATATTAATCAATTACGAAAAATGATCAATATCAATTTCACATTTGCTTTATTATTTTCATTTAAATATATTATTTTTTGTTGTTTCTTACATATTTTTTTTATCTCTAATTTCAAAAATGTTTATTTAATATCTATTATGTTTCATATCTGAAGTCGTGTGGACGTAATCATCTGAAAATTACATTATATAACGTTATTAAATTAAATAATTATTGATGACAAAATTGTTTAATTCATAAATAAACGATTATTAAATTAATTATTTAGTAATTAAAAATAATTAATACTATATGAAATTAATGTATATAGTTTTGAGAAATGAAATATAGTTTAGTGGTTTATTTATTTATATAATAATAAATCTATTTTTCTAATTCTAATTTTACTTATTTTATATATGTTATATTCCGATATAAAAATAATATATTTTATAATATATTTCTTTTATAACAATAAATAATGGTGATAAATGCTTTTTATAAAAGAAAATAATCGAATTTATTGCAGTAAACAGTTCACAAATCAAATTAATTAATTAATGGAAAATGTACTTCGGTCTGTTAAATTGGTGGTAAAGTGTGTTTTGTTGTTTTCGATTGATCTACAAACAGAAATAATTGTCCGTGACACCGAACAATTAATTTATTTGTGTCGAGCGTTTGTTCCTCATTTTCAACATATTTCTATCATTTTATTATACTGTGAATCCTTTGATGTTTTCTATATCATTGTAATATTATTCATATTCTTTTATACAATTTTTGTCTATTATTAATAATTTATTTATATCAAATAACAGTAAATTTTATTTTGTTACGAAATAAATACATGATTTGGTCCAAAATATTATATATAAACTAATACAATTATGTAATTATATTTTCAATATTTGGAAACTAAAATGTAGATTTTTTAAATTATATTATATTGAATAATAGACTATTTGAACAATGATTAAATTATGCGAACTTGTTCACTATGAAATATGTTATGAATTGTTTCAGTAATAAAATCGTAATTTATAAAGTTACAATAAATATTTCTTTCTAAAATAAGCCTTAAAATAGTTATAAAATCATGTAGTTTAAAATAAATTTGTTATATTTTATTTAAATATTTGTATATACAGTGGAACTTCGCTTAACGAGTTTTATCCGTTCCAAAATTTCCGGATTTTTACTCGTATAGTGAAACATATTCAAAAATACACATAATATATGCACATACGTTTTAAAAATGATGTAGCAAGCGCGCAATTCGGGACTTCTCTTCTCTTTACAATTTCTTACAATTAATTTTGCTCGTTAATTATGCGAGATGCTCGTTAAGCGAGGTTCCACAGTACATTTAAATTAAAATTATATAGACATTTATTTTACATTAAGTATGTAATAAAATATAGACGTTATTTATTACAGAATACAAGAAAAATTAAACTCTTTATACAAAATTTAAATTATTCTAATATAAAAGTTTTTATTTTTTTTTTAAAATAGATATTGTTTGGCATTAATATTGAGTAAACATAAACGAAGATTAAATATTTTTTTAATATAAAAGAAAAACATATTGTTTTAAATTATTTTTAACAAATATATAATATAATGTTGAGAAAGAAAGATGTGATTATTGAGCAAAAATAACAGTTATATAAAGTATACAAATAATTTTAGGATTGAAGTTTATTTAATAGTGTATCTAGATGTTATATATCGTTCAGCAAGTCATTTTTATTGAGAAAAATGAGCGATTGAAAACTTACCAAATTATAGTAAAAAACCACTGGTCAGACTGTGACAGCAAGAGACATAGTTACCCACTTGAAAATATTGGGAGCTGTAACTAAGGTTTTTTGGTACAAAGATTTAAAAAAAATGAGCCGTAATGTATATATTTTTTTATTTATTAGTTGAGCCACAACAAAACTCTTGAAGTTTAGCTACTGCTGTGGAACAGTGGAACCTCGCTTAACGAGTATAATCCGTTGCAGAATTTCCGAATTTTTACTCGTATAGTGAAACAATTTGCCCCATATAAACTAATGTAAAATACGATAATGTGTTTCATGTCGGAAAAAAAAATATAACTTGATCTCGCTTTTAATGATTTTACTTTATCTATGGTTATTTTTATTCGTTGGCTTTTTTCATTCATAAATATATTATTAACAAAAAAAAATATTGAGCAAACATTTATTGTTTCTCTTAAAAAAAAAATACCCGGCGCACCCATATATTTTTTTAATCG